AATAAAGCCTTTTTCTACAAAAAAGAAATGGGGCACATGGTAGGGGGTATTGTACCCAAGAGGGCCTCACAGGGTCCTGTTCAGGTTCAACTGCCACATTTCTTTGGTACTCCTCAATCATCAGGGGAACAAGGGCAGGACAAGAAAGGGAACAAAGTTTTGGACAGAGGCGTTAATGATAAACTCGGCAGAGGAACTCAGTTTCAGTGGGACTCAGTTTCACAACTACTGGCTCCTTCCCCTAAAATTAAACTCCTCTTCCTGGCCTCTTCCTCCTCTGCAATCCCCTCCAGGCAATCTCACTCCTTCCCTCCCTGACCCCATTTAACCCCGGTGACCAAGCAGGTCACCATGCGCCTGAAGGACGGGGTGCTGGGCAGTGGGGCACGGCTGGGCCCCGAATAGACAAGTCTGTTTGGGATGTTAAATTTAAGAACTTGGTTAGATATCCAGGGGGGACCTCTGTTAGACTTCAACAACAACAGGGTCAGAGTCCGGGTCAGAGATCGAGCCCAGGAGGGGCCCAAGGACCTCAGAGAAGGAGCCAGGGAAGAGCTGTGTCACAGAGATGGAAGAGGGAGGGGGTTTCAGCTAAGGAGGTTGGTCATGCGAGGGAGGTCAGGCTTGGGAAAAGACTGCTCGACTCAGCAAGTATTATGGGGGAAGGAAGGCATGGATAGGTAGGAAGTGGAGCCAGCTGGTGGAGATGGGATCGTGAAAAAGTTTGAAAACAAGAGAAAAATGGTAACCAGGACATGGGACGTTGTAAAATCTCACTCCTGGGGGTTCCTTAAAGATCAGTTGTCCAGGGCTTCCCTGGTGGTGCAGTGGTTGAGAGTCCGCCTGCCGATGCAGGGGACACGGGTTCGTGCCCTGGTCTGAGAAGATTCCACGTGCCGCGGAGTGGCTGGGCCCGTGAGCCATGGCCGCTGAGCCTGCATGTCCGGAGCCTGTGCTCCGCAACGGGAGAGGCTGCAACAGTGAGAGGCCCGCGTACAGGAAAAAAAAAAAAAAAAAAAAAGATCAGTTGTCCAGTGCCCTCAGACTTGACTGTGGATCAGCATCACTGCAGGACTTGTGATGTCTCCGGTGCAGGAGGCTCAAGGTGGGGTCCAAGAATTGCATCTCTAACAAATGCCTGGTGATGCTGATGCTGCTTGTGGAAGGGAGAGCCCCTGACTGAGTCCAGCCTCGCCCACCCCACCCCAGGTGGATGGTTAAATGCCTGCCACATGGCACTCACTGCCTGCTCAGGAAGCAGTGCTCACCATGAGAAAAGTCAGGCCTCTTTTAAAACTGAAATGTTTGATTACACCCAACAATAAGGGAAAGTGTCTCAACCAATATTTCAAATTAACTCAGACTTTGCAAGAAGTCCTCAAGGAAAGGGAAGGGCCATGGAGGAAAGTCAAGCCATGCAACCTGCAGTGATGAAAATTTTATAGTGTTGTTGCGTGTAACTATACATTCCATTGTATGAATATACCACAATGTATTTAACCTATTCTGTAGATAGACTGCGTCATGAGGTTTATATAGCTTCCATTTTGCTGGATAATGCCTTCTAAGGTAGTTGTACCAATTTACACCCACCACTGGCAGAGTATGAGCGTTCCTGTTGCTCCATATCCTTATCAACACTTGGTGTAGCTACTCTCATATGAGCCAAGTTTGTTAGTATATAGAAGTAATATCTCATTGTGGTTCTAAGGGAGCTGTTAATGCAGTTGAGAACTTTCTCATTTGTCTATTGTTTATTTCTTCTTTTGCAAAATGCCTATTCAAATCTCTTGCCCCTTTTTGTATTGGATTGTCTGATTTTTTCTTAATGGAACTCTTAGGAGTTTTTAATTTTATTTTATTTTTTAATTTTTTTGTGGTACGCAGGCCTCTCACTGCTGTGGCCTCTCCCGTTGTGGAGCACAGGCTCCGGACGCGCAGGCTCAGTGGCCATGGCTCACGGGCCCAACTGCTCCACGGCATGTGGGATCTTCCCGGACCGGGGCACGAACCCGCGTCCCCTGCATCGGCAGGCGGACTCTCAACCACTGCACCACCAGGGAAGCCTCCTATCATATCCTTTTTATTGTCCAACCTATTCTTTATGTTTGCTCTTTTTTTTCTCCTTCCTTTCATTTAGACTGATTACTTTTGGTTATACCTATTTTTATACCTATTTTGGCTTTTTTTTTTGGTTATACCTATTTTTGGCTTTTTTGGTTATACCTATTTTGGCTTTTTTTACCTATTTTAGTTTTGAAAATATATACCCTTACTACTTTTTTTTTGTGGTTCCCTAGAAAACAACATGAATCTTTGTCTTATAGTACTAGTATGTTAAGTAACTATTTTTACTGTCCTCCAGACAATGCAAAGACCTCAGAACACTTTCACTCCATTTATACCTCTCCCTTCTTAAATGTTGTATATTTTTATTTAGTTTTTTCAATCCTACAACACATGGTTAATATTGTTTTATATAGTCAGTGTTCCCTTAGAATCATACATATATTTACTATTTTTGTTGGTCTTTCATTCTTGCATCTCCAGCTTTCTTTCTGGATCATGCTCCTTCTGCTTGAAAAACACCTTCATTTAGGGCAGGATGCCTGTTGGCAGATTCTGTTTTGTCTTAAAATTCTACTTCACATTTATTCTTGTAGTCAGTGGAGAAGAAATGACATATAGCTTTATTTCAAAAATGGATAAATCCCTAACGTGTGCTTTCCAGGACCATGTGAGGAGAAACAATTGCAGAAAGGCTAGGAACCAAGAATAGCTCTTGGCTAAACACGTATTTCCCTTCTGAATTTGTTGCCTCACTGGCTATACTGCCTGAAATTCCACCAGTGACTTCCATTTGGCTCACCAGATCCCTCTCTGAAAGTAGAAAAACCCACGTCAGTGTTCAGGGGCCAAGGCACAAATGCCTAGTTAGCTTATTTTCTTTCTAACACCTTATAGGACTCAATCATACTCTGAACATAAAACTGCTCACAGAAAAAGGAGAAAGACCAAATTACCAAAATAGGTAATTTGGAAGAATTTCTCGAAAATCAGGTTGGGAAGGGCCACAAAATGAAGAGCTCGGGAGATCCTGGGGGTGGAGCGTTAGTCTTGGGCTGTGGGTCAAGTCAGAGGCAAAGGTCACCTCCATTGCACTTGGACCAAGGAGGGCAGAGCTGTTGGTCCCGTTCAAGCTTGGGGTGTGAGTCCCCAAGTGCAGCTCTGGAGCCTCCTGAGCACACAGATGTTTTCCAACAACCCAGGATCCTTGGAGCCTGACCTGCAGTCCCATGTGGGCAATACCTCCAGAGGCTGAACGCCACCCTCACAGCCGTTATCAAATTTCTCTCCAAAGGACGGCTGGAACTGCGGAGAGCAAGGCAGGCCCCAGGGGACAGAGAGACACAGTGGCAGGCACCAAGCAAGCTGTTGTACTTTATCTGGAAAATGTCCTTTGCCAAAACCAGCTGCTGGTCAAACACTGTGCCCATTATCTGAAAACCAGGCCACAGGGAAGTGGGTCCAAAGAGGGTGATGGCTATACTGTTTCTGCCCTTTGGCTCTTGGGACGACTGGATGTGGCACTTTAGAGAAAGGGAACAAGGGGGAAAGGTGATGAGGGTTAAGAGCTCCAGCCCTGGGCTGTTTTAATGTCTCAAGCGAAGGAAGGTCCGTCCAGGGGACGGGGAATTAACCAGCCCTGCTTCCCATGGTGATGTTGGGAACACACGGTCCTGCACAGGGGCTCAGGGGTCTGGGTCCTGGGAGGGGGCCCCAGCCAGGCTGCTGGAAGACCCTCCCTCGTGTTGCAGGCCCCTGGGGGGAGGAAGGCAGGCCAGTCAGCCCTGAGGAGGGGGCTTCAGCCTCACACTGGCCATTCCACTCTGCCCCTTCAGTGCCCTCCTGGAGCCTTGAGTGAGAGAAGGCTCCGGCTGTTAGAGCAGTCATCTCTCATGGGGCCTGACCTGAGCCCTCGGTTGAGAGCACAGGAAAATAAAAAGATCAGCTTATGACCCAATTTATCTGGGAGGGGAAAAGTAAAAATAAAAAATAAAATGTTGTGGGAATTCCCTGGCGGTCCAGTGGTTAGGACTCGGTGCTTTCACTGCTGTGGGCCCGGGTTCGATCCCTGGTTTAAAAAAAAAAAAAAAAAAAGGTTGTGCTCATTTGCTTTCACGTTTAAGAACACAGAAAATAGCCACTAAATCCCACCAGTAATAAATAAAATGCTCCCATTCTATCGGGCTCAGCCACAAGCCCCAAATCTTTCATGGTGGGATTGCAAGTCTTAGCAGACCTACCAGGGGGGAGGTTTGGGGAGAGACGGCGAGCCCATTCGATGCCCTGGCCCACCAGATCCTGTCGGGATCTCTGATCCTCCTCCCCTGCCTTCAGCCAAAGTCCCCGGCCCTTCCAGTCCTCATTCCTTAAGACCCAGACTCCCCCTGCCACCCTAAGCTTCTCCCAGCTCAGACCACGGTGGGTCGGCACGCCCTGGTCCTGCACTCTCTGGCCAGGGCCCAGAGGACCCAGGCGCAGTGGGCTGGCCTCTCAGGAGGCCCCGCCCAGATGCCGCCTGACGCTCTCAGAGACATTTTTTTGCCTGTGAATGGAATAGCATTCATTAATATGTTTGACAGACACAGTTTTTTTTGTTTTCCCCATTTAAGGCTTTTTTTTAATATTAAAATCTAAAAACACATTTTGTGGAAGCATAAACATACATAATCCAGCTCATCCACTCATGCAACAAGCATGGGTTAAACACCCATGTTGGCCCAGGAAAGGCACTTAAGGTAGACACAGTCCCCGCCCTCATGGAGAAAGCTCAGGCACCCAACCTGCCAGGAAGTAGCAAGAAAACCCTCATGGAATCTGAACCACTGCCTCACCCCTGCTCCGCTCAGGATCCCCTGGGAAGGAGGTAGGGGCTGTCTGCTTGCCCAGTGCTAGAGAGGAAGGCGCCTTAACCAGCCGTCTTTGCCTCTCTGCAGGCCCTGCCATCCCGGTGGGCGTGGACGTACAGGTGGAGAGCCTGGACAGCATCTCGGAGGTGGACATGGTACGAGGCGCGCAAGGCGGGCAGCGCCGGGGCGGGTTGCTGTGGCCAAGGTCCCTTGGGGGCCTGCGGTGGGTGGGGCCACGCTGGGGCAGGCTGCGTCTGGGGGCGGAGCCAGAGCTGGAGGGGATAAAGCCGGGATTTGGAGGTTGGCCTAGGTTTAGTAAAATCCAGAGCCTGGCTTCTGCAGCTTCGTGGGTAAAAATAACTTGGGGGCGGGGTGGCTTCTGCAGCTTCGTGGGTAAAAATAACTTGGGGGCGGGGTGTGTGTGTGTGTGTGTGTGTGTGTGTGTGTGTGTGTGTGTGTGTGTGT